GCACTTGGGGATTCTGGTTTGGGAATTCCGAGTTCGGAATTTGAGTTGTGAGTTTCAAGATAGGAATTCCGCATTGGGAATTCCAAGTTGGAAATTCTGAGTCGGGAGTTCCAAGTTGGGAATTTGAGTTGGGAGTTCCGAGTTGGGAATTTGAGTTGGGAGTTCCGAGTTGGGAATTCTCAGTTGGGAATTGGGAGTTGGGAATTCTGAAATGGGAGTTCCAAGTTGGGAATTCCAAGTTGGGAGTTCAGCGTTGGGAGTTCTGTGTTGGGAATTCCGTGTTAGGAGTTGCAAGTTGGGAATTCCGAGTCGGGAGTTCCACGTTGGGAATTCCGCATTGGGAATTGTGAGTTGGGAATTCTGAGTCGGGAATTCCAAATTGGGAATTGCGAGTTGGGAATTGTGAGTTGGGAATTCTGAGTCAGGAGTTCCACGTTGGGAATTCTGAGTCGGGAATTCCAAATTGGGAATTGCGAGTTGGGAATTCCGCATTGGGAATTGCGAGTTGGGAATTCTGAGTCGGGAGTTCCACGTTGGGAATTCTGAGTCGGGAATTCCAAATTGGGAATTGCGAGTTGGGAATTGCGAGTCGGGAATTCTGAGATGGGAATTGCGAGTTGGGAATTCCGAGACGGAAATTCCGAGATGGGAATTGCGAGTTGGGAATTGCGAGTTGGGAATTCCGCATTCATTGGGAATGGCGAGTTGGGAATCCCGTGCCCGCAGGACGTACTCGGGCCCGTTCCGCACCATCACGGTGCGGGACACGATGTCGGACCTGCCGGAGATCCGGAACGGCGCCTCGGCGCTGGAGATCTCCTACAACGGCGAGCCCCAGTCGTGGTTCCAGCGCCAGATCCGCGGCTCCCAGTACCAGCCCATCCTCAGGGATCACATCTGCAAGGTGGGAACGGCACCCGGAGCCGCCGGATCCCGCCGGAGCCGCCCAAATCCGGGATGGGGGAGCTGCTGGGAACTGCCGGGAATGGTGGGGCTTTGGGAATGGCGGATTTGGGAATGGGCGAGGTGCCGGGAATGGTGGGGGTTTGGGAATGGAGGATTTGGGAATGGGGGATTTGGGAATGGGGGAGGTGCTGGGAATGGTGGATTTGGGAATGGGGGAGGTGCTGGGAATGGCGGATTTGGGAATGGGGGAAGTGCTGGGAATGGTGGAGATTTTGGGAATGGTGAAGATTTTGGGAATGGTGGAGGTGTTGGGAATGGTGGAAGTGTTGGGAATGGTGGATTTGGGAATGGTGGNAATGGTGGAGATTTTGGGAATGGTGAAGATTTTGGGAATGGTGGAGGTGTTGGGAATGGTGGAAGTGTTGGGAATGGTGGATTTGGGAATGGTGGGGATTTTGAGAATGGTGGAGATGTTGGGAATGGTGCTTTTGGTAATGGTGGGGATTTTGGGAATGGTGAATTTGGGAATGGTGGAGGTGCTGGGAATGGTGAATTTGGGGATGGTGGAGGTGCTGGGAATGGTGAATTTGGGGATGGTGGAGGCATTGGGAACGGTGGTTTTGGTAGTGGTGGGGATTTTGGGAACGGTGGTTTTGGTGGTGGGGATTTTGGGAATGCTGGATTTGGGAGCGGTGGGGATTTTGGGAATGCTGGATTTGGGAGCGGTGGGGATTTTGGGAATGGTGGTTTTGGTGGTGGGGATTTTGGGAATGCTGGAATTGGGACCGGTGGGGATTTTGGGAATGCTGGATTTGGGAGCGGTGGGGATTTTGGGAATGGTGGTTTTGGTGGTGGGGATTTTGGGAGTGCTGGCTTTGGGAGCGCTGGACGTCGCGGGCCCCGGCGGCGGTGCCCAACGCGGCCCGTTGTCGCCGGCGGCGGCAGGACATGAGCGCGCTGGTGGCGGCGCGGATGCGGCACATCCCGCTGGCGCCCGGCTCCGACTGGCGGGACCTGCCCAACATCGAGGTGCGGCTCTCGGACGGCACCACCACCCGCAAGCTGCGCTACACCCACCACGAGCGCAAGAACGGCCGCAGCAGCGCCGGCGCCCTGCGCGGCGTCTGCTCCTGCGCCGAAGGTGGGTGGTGGACCTCCGGAAACACGTCCCCGGCCCGGCGGGCGCGGCCGTTCTCCCGGAAATTCCCGGGGTTTGGTTTTTGGTGGTGTTTTGGTGTTTCCCAGGGAAGCCGTGCGACCCGGCCGACCGGCAGTTCAACACCCTCATCCCGTGGTGCCTCCCGCACACCGGCAACCGGCACAACCACTGGGCCGGCCTCTACGGGCGCCTGGAGTGGGACGGCTTCTTCAGCACCACCGTCACCAACCCCGAGCCCATGGGCAAGCAGGTGNGGCACAACCACTGGGCCGGCCTCTACGGGCGCCTGGAGTGGGACGGCTTCTTCAGCACCACCGTCACCAACCCCGAGCCCATGGGCAAGCAGGTGGGGGCGGGGGGCCGCGGGCACGGCCGGCGGGGGGCGTCGGTGGGGGTCACCGGTGGCCACCGCGTCCCAGCCTTCGATGGTGGCCAACGGTCGTCAGTGTCCCAACGGTTGGGCGGGTTGCTTGGTGGTGACCGATGGCCACCGTGGCCCCGTGGTTGGGTGTGATGGTCTCCAATGGCCACCACGTTGGGTGTGGTGGTCAGTGGTGGCCACCACGTTGGGTGTGGTGGTCTCTGGTGGTCACCACATTGGGTGTAGTGGTCAGTGGTGGCCATCATGGTGGGTTTGATGGTCTCCAGTGGCCACCACGTTGGGTGTGGTGGTCTCCAGCATCCACCATGTTGGGTGTGATGTTCTCCAATGTCCACCATGTTGGTGTGGTGGTCTCTGGTGGCCACCACGTTGGGTGTGGTGGTTTTTAGTGGCCACCATGTTGATGTGGTGGTCAGTGGTGGCCAGCATTTGTGTTGGTGGTCAGTGGTGGCCAGCACATTGGGTTTGGCGCACTGTGGTGGCCAGCACGTTGGGTTGGCGCTCAGTGATGGTGGCCACCACGTTGGGTTAGTGATGCATGGTGCCCACCATGTTGGGTTGGCGCTCCGTGGTGGCCAGCATGTTGGTGTGGTGGCCACCACGTTGGGTGTGATGGTCTCCAGTGGCCACCACGTTGGGTTTGGTGGTCCATGGTGGCCACCACGTTGGGTTTGGCGGTCAGTGGTGGCCACCACGTTTGGTTTGGCGGTCAGTGGTGGCCAGAACGTTGGTGTGGTGCCCACCCCGTTGGGTTTGGCGGTCAGTGGTGGCCAGAACGTTGGTGTGGTACCCACCCCGTTGGGTTTGGTGGTCCATGGTGCCCACCCCGTTGGGTTTGGCGGTCAGTGGTGGCCAGAACGTTGGTGTGGTGGCCACCACGTTGGGTTTGGTGGTCCATGGTGGCCACCCTGTGGGGTTGGTGCCGTTGCAGGGCCGCGTGCTGCACCCCGAGCAGCACCGCGTGGTCAGCGTGCGCGAGTGCGCTCGCTCCCAGGGCTTCCCCGACACNGGGTTGGTGCCGTTGCAGGGCCGCGTGCTGCACCCCGAGCAGCACCGCGTGGTCAGCGTGCGCGAGTGCGCTCGCTCCCAGGGCTTCCCCGACACCTTCCGGCTCTTCGGGAACATCCTGGACAAGCACAGACAGGTGGGTGGCACCGGCACCGCGGTGGCACCGACACGGTGTCCCCTTGTCCCCTTTGTCCCCTTGGGCACCGACTTCTTGTCCCTTTGTCACTTTGTCCCATTCTCCATTGTCCTCTTGTCCTTTTGTCCCATTGTCCATTGTCCCATTGTCCCATTGTCCATTGTCCCTTTGTCCATTGTCCAATTGTCAATTGTCCATTGTCCCATTGTCCCATTGTCCCATTGTCCCATTGTCCCTTTGTCCATTGTCCAATTGTCCATTGTCCCATTGTCCATTGTCCCTTTGTCCATTGTCCCTTTGTCCATTGTCCAATTGTCCATTGTCCCATTGTCCCTTTGTCACTTTGTCCCTTCTTCCATTGTCCCATTGTCCATTGTCCGTTTGTCCCTTTGTCCCAATGTCCTCTTTTCACTTTGTCCCAATGTCCCCCTGTCCCCCTGTCCCCATGTCCCATGTCCCTCTGTCCTTCTGTCTGTCCCTCTGTCTGTCCCTTTGTCTGTCCCCTGTCCCCTGTCCCATGTCCCTCTGTCTGTCCCCTGTCCCCATGTCCCTCTGTCTGTCCCCATGTCCCTCTGTCTGTCCCTCTGTCTGTCCCCTGTCCCTCTGTCTGTCCCCATGTCCCTCTGTCTGTCCCTCTGTCTGTCCCCTGTCCCCATGTCCCTCTGTCTGTCCGTCTGTCCCCAGGTGGGCAATGCGGTGCCGCCTCCCCTGGCCAAGGCCATCGGGCTGGAGATCAAGGCCTGCGCTGTGGCCAAAGCGCGCCAGGACACGGCCGGTGAGTGACCCTGAGTGACCAGAGTGACCACTGAGTGACTCTGAGTGACCACTGAGTGACCAATGAGTGACCAGAGTGACCCCTGAGTGACCCTGAGTGACCACTGAGTGACCACTGAGTGACCCTGAGTGACCAGAGTGACCAATGAGTGACCAGAGTGACAAGAGTGACCGCTGAGTGACCGCTG